ATAAAAATCCAAGTGGGCAAAGTTATTTGTGAAACCCACAAACATTTATGATTTTTATCTTTAAGAATGCCAGTGTATGATGTAAATTTCGAAAACTGATGTTAAAACATTTTAAGCAAGACAGTTTTATAAAATTATCAGCTACTGAGCACAGTTTGGACCTAGCTTTATTTATTTAAAAGCTAACTGCATTGTTTTACAAGTTAGCAAATTAGAAAAAAATATAGCCACCTATATGACTACCATCCTCCTCCCAGTCACATTCTCCAGATGTAGGTTCCAGTGAGGATGAGGATGATGATGCACCAGCTAAAATAAATGTCAATTTCTGACACTTGGCTGATATTGCTTGTAGATGCTTTTTCTTTCTCTCAATTTTTGTTCTCCTCCCTTACGTTTATTCTCCATTTTTGTTCTAATTTTTAATTATTTGTTTTCTTCTTACTTCTTCTTCCTCTTCTTAAGCAAGCTTTTCTTCTTCTTTGCTCTTTGTTGGTTGTTGGTAAACAATGAATTGGGGCATTATCGCCATTTAATGTTAATGAGCGAAACTACACAACCTTTTTTTTCCTTGCTGCCTGCGCCAGCCCAGTGACGCATCGGCCCGCCGGGAAAAGTCCCGGTACTCCCAATGACCAGTCCGCCCCTGCTGGTGACACTGTTGGGGATTTATTCAAAATTGAAGGCATACTGAAAGAGCATGGCTACCACAGCATCTTGCAGCAGCATGCTATTTCATCTGGTTTGCGTTTAGTTGGACCATCATTTATTTTTCAACAGGGCAATGACCCCAAACACTCTTCCAGGCCGTGTAAGGGCTATTTGACCAAGAAGGAGAGTGATGGGGTGCTGTGCCAGATGACCAGGGGCCTCATGTATGAACGGTGCGTACACACAAATACCTTGCGTACGCCATTTTCCACACAAAACTCTGGATGTTTTTTTCTGCTTGACCTTCAGAGGAGTCGGACACTTTTTGCTCTCTCTCCCGAACCTGCCTCTTTCCTTGCTTTGCTGCTGGATCAAGCCTTTCTTCTACCTATCATCCGACAACTAAAGAACTATAGATCTGGTCAATTGGTCTCTGAACACGATAAAATTTTCTCCATCCTGAGATTAGAACGTGGGGAGCGCTTTTGTCCCAGTTGAACCGTTGCTGCGGGGCGAGTATCAGGTGGCTGGGGGTGGAATCTGATCTGCCTGGCACCTCTTTCCATTGAGGACGTCGAAGATGTTTTCATATTCATGTTTATGATAATCAGATTCCTGTTGATCGGCTGTGGAGGAGTTCTGGTTCATCGGAAAATAAGAATGACACTGACGGCGGTCCTGGCCTGTGAGAAGCTGTTAGTGTCCCTGGATGGAATCTCTCGTACGGTGAACGCACAGACTCAAATTACGGAGGAGTTGAATCGCAAACTGGATGTGGCTCTGAGGAGAACCACAGCCCAGTGGTTTGAGGAGTAAGGCAACATCTGGGTGAAGTTCATACGGGAGAGACGAGATGGTAACGAATCTGGATTATTGGCATTATCGCAACACAGAGGCTCAGTTAAGACTTAAAAGCAGTGGAAGAAAAGTCTGTTGCTTGCTCTAAAAGAATTTATTCCTATCATCAGATCCCCACAGATGTGTCCTTGGACGCAGCTGATAAACCTCCCTGGATGATATGGGGAGGAAGCCTTGATCCCCCCACCCCTTCCCCCAACCCCCACCTGTGTCTGGACCCGGTCTTGGAGGCCGTGCTGGGTGGAAACAGAGAAACAGAACTCTAGTGAACTGCGTTTGACTAACAACTGGTTTGGACTCTGAAGGTCTCTGATTTGGATCAGGCACTCTGCCCTTGATGTCACCGGCTCCACTGCACCCCTTCCCCCCTCCATATGTTTGTACCCCCCCTCCCCCTGCTTATCTGCTCCTATTCGCAGAGTGTTTTTTTGTGTGATTCTCATGTGTTTTTTTTTGTTTTGTATTAAACACAGAATCAAAGCTCTTTTTAAAAAAACTCATCCTTCCTATGTGTGCATTCTAAACTGCAAGGTAGCGCACGATGTTGCGCAGGGCCCTGGACATTCGCTCCCCCGTGTCTGTCACATTTGTGTTTTTCCAGATGGATGTTCAAAACTGCAAATTTCATTCTGCATTGCATCTTGATGCTGTATGAATGACAATAAACGATTCTTGATTCTTGATGTATCAAAACTGAAATGAATGTGGAAATGTGCACAGCCCCACGCCAACTCCAGGGCTGTCGTACGCACATTTTTGTGGTTTTGGTTCCATTGGCGACACTTAGGTGATTCTGAGAAACTGTTCATGATGTGAAAATGATTATTGTTCACACCAGACACAAATGATTAACAATTATTAAATCCACATGGACGCAGTTAGATAAAGTACGCGTAAAGTTGTGCCAAAAATACATTTAACAGGAACAGATTCAGCCTTACTGGAGGATAAATAGTGTAACACGCAGAGAGAGCATTTGTTCATAAACAGAATTTTGTGATCCACGATGACGAGTGGCTCATCAGCCATATTCAGGAATAATCATTTGTCAGTTTGCACTGCTGCGCTCTGGAGTGCGACACAGCGAGGAGCTGTGCGCCATGCATGCACGTGCAGAAGCAGCTATCAAACTGGGGTTCCACATGAGTTTTCCAGAGGGAGCTGGCAGACCGATTGGGAGTGTGCCAGTCCAGTTCACCCAAAGCCAAATTATGCCCAATGGAATCGTCTCATCCATATGATTCTAAAGGCTGAGTTATGGTCGCGCTTTGGAGCGTGCGCACCCTCGCAGGCAGTGGTGTTTCATACTTGGTGTTTACGTTGTAGATTTCTCCAAAATGCCACGTGGAAGTACATTTTACAACTTGTGAAAATGCTGTAAGTAGGAGAGCAAAAACTTGAAGATAAACTGACTGTGACAAAGGCTGTGACGCGTGCAGCCCTTGCGGAGACTCTCCAGCATTACTTCACATCATGAAAACTCCACTGAGGCGCAGAGACTAGTTTCTTCATATCAGCTATGAAATAAACAAAGATCTATGGCCTACCAAACAATTAAGTTCCTTTGTGTCTACAGTAATTATGGCAATAAATTAATGTGCAAAGTTAATATTTTCAGAGTCAGAATGGATGGATGAGCTGGTTGCGCAACACAGCAGCGTGCGCGCACACACACACACCGACACACAATCACTCGTTCTTTGCATGAAAAACATTTTATTCCTATTCTTACTTAGGATTTTTTTCTCACTCACATTATATTAAATTCATTATTTTTCTGACTCTAGAAATCATTTCTGATCGCGCAGGGATCAAACAAACATGTCCTTAACACATGCAGTAAGTAATTTGCATCTGTTTAACATTAATGAAGGTATGTCAGGGGAGGTATCTCACATGCGCTCAGTTCCACATTAAATGTGATGTACAAAAGAAAGTGCATGGATTCAGGCGTACGCACGGTTTGATACATCTGGGGTCTCATGCATAAAGGATTGCGCAGTTTTCACACTAAAAGTTGGCATATGGACAAATTTAGAAAAGTGCACCGCACCAAAATATTCAGATGTATAAAACTGTGCGCACGCAGGTTCCCGTGCACCTTTCCTTTATACATCCCAATGAACGTGGAACTTAKCGCACGTGAGACACCTTCCCTGGCTTGAATGAGAAGGTGTGTCCAAACTTTTGGTCTGTACTGTATGTTTTATATTTATATTTTTTCCTTTATCCTTTGTATTTTCTTTATTTGTTATATTTTATACTTATTGCACCACCTCATTGTGCCCCAGAGCAGCTGTGGCTGTAGCTTACTGCCTTCAGTGTGTGGATGTATGTGTGCATGGGTGAATGTCTGAAGTGTAAAGCGCCTTGGGGTCCACGTGGACTTGATAAGGCACTATATAAAAACCCTTTCTTTGATGATGTATGTATTGATTTTTAGAAGTGTTAAGTAAATTTTATTGTTGTTGTTTTTATGCTACTTTGTTGTGGTGGATGTAATAAGTCTCTTGTAACTGAGACAATGAGTCTCAAGAGATCTTCCTATATGAATAAAGGATAAATAAAAAAAATAAAATATAAGTTCAAGCTATTTACCATTTACACTGAAGCAAATTCCTAGTATGTGAATACTGTTCATTGACAATGGCAATAAAACTGATTCTCATTATGTTGGACACTTGCAGGCAAGCCACGAAGGCATCTGTGACTTCATGATCATCATGTGTCCCTCTTGCAAAGAGCTGATGAGAGCCAACGAACAGGAACGTCACAATGAGAGAGAATGTCCAGAGAGGACGCTCAACTGCAAATACTGCAAAGAACCTTTTTTGTTAAAGAACATCAAGGTCAGGTTTCTCTGTCATTATAAAACACTGTACAAGATGTGTTATTTTTCTAACTCTTCTTGATTTTAACACGTTAATAGTTCTGACCATCCTCAAAACCTCTGGCCGTGACCTGAGTAAGGAGCTCCAAAATATTCTGTTTGGGTTTATCCAGCTTGTTCATGGGTTCATGAGAACCACCGATTGTTTACACCAAAAACAATTTAGTCCTGTGCCTAAATAGTCTGGTAAACATGTATACATACAACTTTTCTGAGACGCAGCATCATCAAATAGAAAAAGTCTTTTACACAAGCCATGTTTCCATTGTTTTTAAAGCACATTTTGAAGTATCGCATTAGAAAAGGTGGTTGGAAATGGCACAATTCTCAAAAACTTTGTTTTGCAAAAACGGTTTTACACTCGCTTGAGGTGTTTTTTGGATTTTCTGAAAAAGAGTTGATGTGCAAAAGGGGAGGTGGAAACATTTGTTGAATAAGTTCTGACATAGCGAACATTTACCTTGATCAGCTTTTCCAGCTGTCCAATAATTGTAGCGGCTGCAGCTGGACCCTGCTCCCGCTGTCGGTGTCTTCCCAGATATTCCTTTAATGTAAAAAGAATTACATTTCTTTTTATACGTCTCCAGACAGCAACATCACCAATACAGTTGAAATGACAGAATAATTACAACTTACCCGATAGTAGCAACACGTTCCTGATCACTTCTCTCCATTGTCCTGAGATGTGTATTGCTGTAATTTGTGAGTTTACTTCCTGTTTATTACAGCCATGTATAACGTCAATGTCTGACATACACTTTGGTTGATTCGCACCAAACCAGTTGATGGAAACACATCTGATATGTATTTCTTTTTTTTTAGCAACATTTTAAAAGTTCACTCAAAATTTGCATTAAAATTGGATGGAAACACGGTTATAGGAAGTGTAAATTTTTGTGTAGATCGCTTTAGAAGAAGACTGAAAACCAAGTGACAGCAACAAAGTTGCCTGAAAACCAGTCACATTGGCCTGTTCATAAGGTTTTCTTTAGATTGTAATGAAATAAAGCAGGCATAATTGAGTGTGCATCCAGTCAAGCATTGATAAACTTTTGGAGCCAACCCACTTTAAGATGGCCACCATGACTATTCGCTAACACAAAAATGCTTCTAACTCAGTCAGTTTTACAGGTATTTAGCTAAAGTTTGAGATGGTAGGAGCTGAGATTTATTCACATCCAATATGACATCGCATGACGTGTTATTTTTAAGGTCTGACCAAAACAGCATCTTATCTTACAGTATCTTATCTTACCTTGATTGGTACTTTTCTGAAACTATTTTTGGATTTGAGTCCAGATAGTGAGTCAGTTCAGATGTCCTTTTCTTGTGTTATTGTGTCAAAAATTTTGAAAGATGTGTTTTGTAAAACTTAAATATCAGTGAAACCTGAGTTTGTAGCATTTGACTGTAAACTAACCTTTCATATTATTTCAGGCTCATGATGAAATCTGTCCAAAGTACCCAATGATTTGTGAGGGTTGTGCCAAGAAAAAGATCCCCAGAGAGAAGGTAGAGCAGACTTTTCAGTTATATTTCATAATTCTGTTATATTGAATTTGAACCCAAAATCAAATCCTGTAACAACTTCAGTGGCTTCTGTTGTTTTTCTTTTGTTATGCAGTATGTGGACCACATTAAGTTCTGCGGTAAATTTAAAACACCGTGCAGATTTCATGTTGTTGGCTGCGATATATCTGTAAGTAGAGGTATTTTTTTGTTTACTACTGACTAATCACATTCTTAGTGGCTCATTCAGTTGAAAATCCAGTTGCTGTAAAATCTATTTGAAGCAGAAACAAAATCTAAGTTATTTTTTCATATTAGAAATTTCAAAACTTTTTTTAAAACTTTATTTTTATGCAAGGAGAAACAAACAGTCATGAGGGCTAGGGCAGACAACAAAAAAAAAATCACAATTATAACAACTATTCTGATTCACAAGAAAAATATTAGGTGCAGGTTACAGATCAAACAGCATAGCAGAAATATTCCTGATTCACAACGGTTAACTGTTGCAATATTTGGATGTATAACAATTTCCCCGAGTCTCTCTCTTTTCTCCTTCTGGAGATGTATTTAAAAAGTCAATATATTTATGTTTATATTTATGAAGAGCTTGAGTGTGGGGGGACTTGGCTGTAGCCAACATTTGGTAATTGCCTTCTTGCTTGCAATCATAAATATCTTCATCAAGTATGTATCACTTGTACTGAGTCCTTCAGGAAGTTGTACGAGGTACATGAAGATAAAGGAAAAGTCTAAAGCTGTGCTTAGCATCATTCCATTACACTTTTCTAAAGGTAAGTTTTACTGACAGTAATTTGATTTATTGATTAGGATCCCCATTAGTTTCCACCAAGGTGGTTACTAATCTTCCTGAGGTCCAACTGATATAACACAATAGTAATAAAGACAACAGGTTGTCAAAATCTGGTTTCTGCAAAAATCTCAATAAAAATGTAATTTCATAAGTAGGCTATATTGTTCTGTATACGTTTACTGTATACAAATGTTCTCAGTCAGCAGGTTGACAGTTTCAGGAGCTGCTTCAGTAAAAGTTCTTTGTTCTCCTCCTCCTCCTTCTTTGAAATAGAGACCAAAAACCAACAAACAAAATCCATAAGCTCTCCGCTTACAGGTCAAACATTTTAACTGAAATAGGAGTATACTGTGTACATGACCTTATTAAAAGTTACAGTTTAGTGTTCTTAGGACTGAAGACTTTCTGAGGAAAGAGGTTTTCAAACATCTCTTCAGTCATTTTAGTGTTTTCAACTGAGGAGCTTTGATATACAGTGGTACCTTGACTTAAGAGTGTCCTAATGAGTTTTTGGAAAAACAAGCAGTCTCTCAGATATACTGGATTTTTGCTTTGAGTTGAGAGCTAAAATTTGGGTTATGAGCGAACTTCACACGCACCACCACTAGATGGCGCCACAACCACAGGAGTGAACACCGCAACAGGTGTTCACAGTCTCACTCATTGACTTTAAGCAGTTATCTCGCGGTTAAAGAATTTGTGTTCCACTCGCAGTTATTTTTATAAACCTCACGAACCAGCTTTTGCCAACTATGGGGCCAAAAAGGGTGACAGCAAAGGATGGTGCTGAGAAAAAGAAGCAGATGTTGTGCATTGAACTGAAGAAAGAAATTATTGAAAAACATGAGAAAGGTGTGCGTGTAGTCGACTTAGCAAAGCAGTACGAGCTCAGCACTTCCTCAGTCTGCACCATATTGAAGCTGTACATTTTACAATGTACTTAATAAAACTACTACTTCATTGCCGAAAGTACATTCTGTTTTGTATTTTTATTCATTTTTTGTTACTCATAATGATTTTACTGATATAAAAACATGTAACAAAAAAATAGCAGTTTTTTGGGGGTCCTGAACAGATTAAGGGCATTTCAATTTATTTCTATGGGGAACACTGATTTGACATACAAGTAACTTGAGTTAAGAACTCCATCTCAGAACGAATTAAACTTGTAACTCAAGGCACCACTGTATTTATTTTAAAAAAATTATAGCAGAGGAAGTTCTCTGCACAGAACAAAATAAATAACTTTTACTATTTTTTAACCAAACTAACAAGTTTCTCCACTAAATTTATTGTGTAATTTAAAGGCATTGAAACACCTGGTTACATTTAGAAGATATTTATAATTAATTACAAGCACCTGAACCTGACTCAGAGAACTTTGTGATTTTAGAAAAGAAATGAAAGTTAAACAAACCCCAGCTGCGGTCCGCTTGCACCTCCACAACACCCTGTGTGTGATTTTTTGCACAAATTACGGATTTTTGATGCTCATTATACACATATGAAGGGGATGACATGTATGGACTCTTGAGTCCCAGGCTGGTCGGAGCCGCACTGTGCGTGGACAGGTGCAGCTTTAAAATCAGGTGATCTATCACGGTTTTGTTGAGCTCGTGAACATACAGTGTTATGGTGGAAATGCTGTGACGTGCTTTTAGAAATTAAAATATGACGTAATCCTCGGTGGAAAATAGTCCAGGAAAGGCTGAGGGCTTTCCCAGGGGTTGTTGACCTGAGCTGAGGGAAACTGACCCCCCACCCACAGAGAGAAAAAAAAAGGCAGCGCTATCAGTCAGACGGCATGACCCGCCCTGCTCTGTTCTGATTGGGTAAAACTTTGACTGTGGTTCTCTTTATTGGGTGAAAGAATCGTCAGTTTTATCCCTAGACGGCTTTAACAAGTTTTGCTTTTCTCCCATTCATTTTTATACATGACAAATATGCGGCGAAAAACTTTAATCTAGGTCCTTTTTTTTTTTTTTGGGTTGTCCGGGAGGCGGGATCTGGTGGCTGGTTGTCTGAAATGAAAATAGGTTGTCTCGGACAACCTAAACAGTTCAGTTCAATTCAGTTTATTTATATAGTGCCAAGTCACAACATGCGTTGTCTCAGGGCACTTTACATGAAAAAAAAATCAATCTAATCTAAAGAAGAAGCCAGCAGATTGTGTTGAATCACTTCATCACAGTCCTGAACAAACGGTGGAGAGGAAAAACTCTCTATTAACAGGAAGAAACCTCCAGCAGAACCAGGCTCAGGACAGGTGGCCATCTGCCTTGACTGGCTGGATTTGGAGGACAAGAAAGAGACACAGCCAAACACAAGAACTGGTCCAGGTGCACCTACTTCTGGAAAAGTGACAAAAAGAAAAAACACGTTATTTATATAAATAATTACAATAAACATGTAGAGAAGAGAGATTAAAGGCAACAGCAGAGTAAGGAACTGTGCTCAGTTTGTGCTCCAGCAGTCTAAGTCTATAGCAGCAGAAATTAAGAATAATTCAGGAAACCTAAGTCTAACTTTAAAGATTTATAAATCATTGATTGTTTGGATTAAAAATATCAGTTAAATTTATCATATAGGGGACAAACACATTGATATTTGAGAAGTGAAATGAAGTTGAAATGATTTGCAGAAAATGTGCAATATTTTTTTAACAAAATTAGGCAGGTGCATAAATTTGGGCACCGTTTTCATTTTATTAATTTCAAAGCCTTTAGAACTAATTATTGGAACTCAAATTTGGTTTGGTAAGTTCAGTGACCTTTGATCTCCATACACAGGTGACTCCAATTATGAGAAAGTGTTTTTAAGGGAGGTAATTGTAGGTTTTTCTCCTCTTTGCATCTTCTTTGAATAGTGGCAGCGTGGGAGTCTCAAAACAACTTTCAAATTAGCTGAAAACAAAGATTGTTCACCATTGTGGTTTAGGGGAAGGATACAGAAAGATATCTCAGAAATTTCAGCTTTCAGTCTCCACTGTGAGAAACATTGTGAGAAAATGGAAGACCACAGGCACAGTTCAAGTGTAGGCTCCAAGTGGCAGACAAAGAAAAATCTGGAATAATCAGAAGCGAAGGATGTTGAGAACAGTCAGAGTCAACCCACAGACCAGCACCAAAGACCTACAACGTCATCTTGCTGCTGATGGAGTCACTGTGCATCGTTCAACTATTCAGCACACTTTACACAAGGAGATGCTGTATGACAGAGTGATGCAGAGGAAGCCTTTTCTCTGCCCACATCACAAACAGAGCTGCTTGAGGTATGCAAAAGCACATTTGGACAAGCCAGCTTAATTTTGGAATAAGGTGCTGGGGACTGATGAAACTAAAATAGAGTTATTTGGGCATTACAAGGGCCGTTATGCATGGAGGAAAAAGAACACAGCACTCCAAGAAAAACACCTGCTACCTACAGTAAAATGTGGGGGTGATTCCATCATGCTGTGGCGCTGTGTGGCCACTACAGGGACTGGGAATCTTGTTAAAATTGAGGGACGCATGGATTCCTTTTATTTTATTTATTTAGTTTTTTTTGCCACTTCAGTAGAAAGCAGAACTTAATATCTGAATATTAGTATCTTTAGCTTCTTCATCATCAGTGGCTTTTTTTGCCACTTCATTAGAAAGCAGAACTGAATATTAGTACCTTAGCTTCTTCATCATCAGTGGCTTTTTTTAATAGGAGAAAAAGAAAGAGAAAGAAAAAAGTGAAATGTAATGAGAAAGAGTGAAAGAGAGATTAGAAGATATGTGAAATATACAGTATGTTGAGAAAACACAAGACAGCACACCCGACTTATTGGCTCCACACCTACAAAAACAAAGATAGCAAAACCACAGCAACAAAAATGCATATCTATATAATTATAATGACAATAGCCTTGCTGAAAACCATACCCATATACATATATAAATTTATACATACGTATACACATAAACATACCCATACCTACATATCCAAACTCTTTTATATATATATAT